CATAGAAAACAATTGTATATAAAGTCATGTGTCACTAAACAACAGGAATACATCCTTAATATATCATTTCACTGTCGTCATTTCACGTACTTACACAAACCTAGATGGTATAGCCTATGACACACCAAGATATGTGGTCTGTCATTAACTGGTATAGCCTATGGTATAGCCTATGACACACCGTGGGATATGTGGTCTGTCATTAACTGAAATGTTGTTATGTGGTGCAAGATTGTACATTGTTTCTGTCTGGACAGGAATTGTATTAGTCTGTTTCTGTTGCCTATAACAAAACACTATGGAACTGGGTGATTATAAAGAAAACGAAATTTATTGCTTATAGTTTCTGAGGCTGGGAAGTCCAAAGTCCAAAAGAACACATCTGGTGGTGGTGACAGTGACCCAGGGGTCTCNGGTTCGGATCCTATATAGGGATGGCCAGTGTGCTCACTGGCTGAGCGCGGTGCGGCCGGTCACAAAAAATAAATAAATAAATAAATAAATAAATATGAGGAAATCTCTCAGAAAATAGAGCAAAATGATAGTGAGATGAAAAACAGGACAGTTTAATAAATTTAGGTAAACAGTTCTGGAGGGCTAATGTACACATAATAGAAATTCTACAAAGATGGAGAAAACTGAGAACAAGAAATCTTAAAGCAAGTATTCAAAAATTTTTCCCAAAATTGAAGGACATGAGTGTCCAGAATTAGAGACCTCATCATAAAGATCTATGGGAGAAATTTCTCCAGGATCTCAGAGCTAGGAATATTTGCACTTCTAGCAACTGGTTTGTTTTATCCAATAGAGACAATCAAGTAACCACTTCTCTCTTTACTTTGGGAACTTTGGCCTCAAAAGAACTTAAAACCAAATCTGCAGTCTACATTAGCAAGCAAGCAGACAGCATGCCTATCCATTCCAATCCAGTCCAGGCAGGAATCCTGTTACCAATCTTACCTTTATTTTCTGCTTGACATCACTTCTTTATCTTTTTTAAAAATCATGCTGAATTGTGGGCATTTTTTTGAAAAGCTATTTCAAATCCATTTTGAAACTAAGACGGGATAAATTAATAAATAAAACCCTTTCCACTTAAAAAAAAAAAGCCTATGCTAATTAATGTTGGCTTACTAGAAGAAGATATGAGCTGACCTAAATTTTTCTGCATAAAAATGTAGGTTGAGGGTCCGGCCCGGTGGCGCACTGCTACAGTGCGCCGCTTGGGAAGTGTGGTGGCGCTCCCGCCGAGGGTTCAGATCCCACATGCAGACCGGCCGCTCACTGGCTGAGCAAGGTGCAGGAGCAGCACAGAGGGTTGCGATCCCGTTGCTGGTACCGGTCCGGTGCGGGCGCGACACTGAGGGTTGCGATCCGTTGCCGGTCACGAAAAAAAACAAAAAGGAAAAAAAAAAAAAAAGTAGGTTGATGCAGCCTCCCCACTAAAGCACACACAGTGGAGAGGGAAGCTCAAAGCAATGGGATAAATAATAGAGCCACAAATAACTTATGAGAATTCAAGAGCATTAAAATAAAGCTTAAAAGCAAGTTGCACTAAATGTAATATGGTGTCCTGGATTAGATCCTGAAAAAGAAAAAGGACGTTAACGGAAAAACTGATGATATTGAATACAGTGCGTAGTTTCGTTAACAGTATTACAGCAATGGTAATTTCTTAGTTTTGACAAATATACCATGGTTACATAAAATGTTAACATCAGGGAAAGCTGGGTGCAGGTTATATGGGAACTCTCTGTACTATCTTTCCAACTCTTCTGTAAATCTAATATTCCCAAATAAGTTTAAAATTTTAAAAAGTGACTGCCTCACAAAGGTGAAGGGAGAGGATTCATTTGTCAAAACTCATCCAACTTTACAATTAAAATGTATATGCAAATTATACCCCAATAAAGCTGATTAAGCCAGAAAGAAAAGCAAGTTGCAAAAGTATAGAAACACGATACTATTTATGTAAAACTAGGTAACATAGAAAACAATTGTATATAAAGTCATGTGTCACTAAACAACAGGAATACATCCTTAATA